AGTTTCAGGATGGTAGAGGCAGAGACCACGGACAAACGCCCTCGACAGATAAACGGGAGAGGGCTTTTTGATGACAGTTTTGCGTGCGTCCTGCCATACGAGGGATCCGGTCGTTAACATCTAAGACAACACAGATAGCCGATGCGATGATTCAGAACCGGGGAAATCCCATCCCACCGTCAGATATTGTATGCCGGTCAGTCAGTCTACATAGGGTTTTTGTGATGTTTGGGTGTCATGCGAGTAGGGATGCGGATTACACTGAGCGCTGAAACTGCGCTGACACAAGAAAAAGAAAGACGTCGCTGAATCGAAGACCTCGCCGTTGCTTTCGCGAGGTAGTTCGGAAGCTTGCGAAAAGATTTGGTCATCCGGAAACATTTTTGGGTCGCAGCGGGAGAACAGCGGAGAACCCTGGAGATCCTGAGTAACTTAACATGCGGGCGTATGTGGCTGGCCATTTGGACGTGGCAAACATCTAGAAGCTGGGTGATTGAGGCAGGCAACAATTTCGAGATAACAATCTACAATGAGCAGGCCAGTCAGAGATGAGCGCCAGTTGTGATGAGCGCCAGTTGAAGGATGCTTGCCAAAAGCATGGACGCGTGTGTTTCAGTTTCCCAATCGGGAAACGTCAGCTCAGTCAGCCTCCTGCCGTCAGCCAACCGTCAGCGCGTCAGCCACCATGGAATGGCATAAAATTTGGCCCTTGGCTCCTTTCCTCATCTTCTCTCCCTCCCATATGCCTCCATGTCCGACCAAGATCCCGAAGAGATACCCCTCCTACCGGTTTGAGAGCGCAGCTTCACCAGCTTCTCGCTCACCATGCTCTCTTCCAAGTCCGCATCCAGATCCACCAGCTCGCCAGCGTGCCACTTGTCCACGGCGAATTTGCCGTCCAATGGAAGTTCAAAAACACCCACAAGGTGAGGGCCAAGAGAAGGGACACGGCCCTGAGCAAGATGGCGATGGGGACAGCTTTGGCAGCGCCGAGACGAGCATCGAGGAGCCCCAGACGTTGTCCGCATCAGCGTCTAGCGTCTTTAGTGCGGACGAGGGACAGCAAGTCACGTCAACGCGCGGACAAACCCCTTGGCTGCCTCTGCGCGACCATTCTGTCTCTTGGGACCAGCCACTTTCCGCCGTCGTGCAGATGTCCATCGACCGCGACACCCACCGCCTTCTCCCGCACCTATTCAAGCTCAAAGTCGTCCAACGCGTAATTGTAGGCGACCCAGATGCACCGCATAACCCGCGCCTCGGCGTAGTCGAGCTCGATCTGGCAGAATATGCGGACAGCGTCCCCGCATCGGCTGCGAGCAAGGGGACCGTAACGCGCCGTTACCTCCTCCGCGACAGCAAGACCAACGCCACGCTGCGTCTGTCCATACGCGTCGAGCCCATAGACTCGCCCCCGCCCTTCATTGCTCCACCTCTCCCGAACGGCGAGATCCTCGCTGGCGTCTCGACCCTTCTGTCGACCGCCGCGGAAGTATACCGCACCCGCCCGCACGCGCTCAATTTGTACGCGCCCCCCGAACCGCCTCAGCCTGGCACCCCTCTTAAAACCCCCTTTGACATCCGCGCACTCCCCCGCGCCTACGGCCCGCGCCCCACCGAGTCCCTCATCGACGCGATCTTCAATCCCGCCCCCGTGCTTGACGAGCGGCTCGTGAGCCCGTTCACGCGCTTGGTAGCGGAGGCGGAGACGCCGTACCCGTCCCCGACGACATCTATGGACTCGCCAAGCTCGAGCGCGCCGAGCTTCCTCACACTCGACCCGAGTGCGGGTCTCTCTCCGGAACCCCGCTCGCGCTGGTGGCAGCGCAACCGCTCCCGGAGTAGGAGCAGGAGTCGGAGTCGCGTGCGGACGCAGGTTGCGGTGGCGTAGGCGTCTCTTTTGTCCACCACACACGGTATATTTTGTTATAATTTTGGGACAGTTTTACGATAGACTCGAATACCTAGGATATGTATACTACGCTAGAAATCGTCTAACAAACGGAGCCTTTGCTTCCTCCAACGTCTGTTCGCACAAACGAAAGCCCAGACCACCGTCCCGAAGTGAGCATCAGCTACGATCGCTTCTTGCTTTCCTTCTAACCGTCAAAGTAATCGTGCTAGTGCACGAACTCTGCCGATTTCTCTTGCTTCCATCGTACCCTCGGGATGCCTGGCCTGGACCTCTCAACTCAGCGCGATGTATAGGACCTCAGCTCTCAGCCCTTCCTTCCCGTAACGCCTCCCAAATGGCCCTCTCACTCCACACCAGCACCCCAAATGGCGTAGAAGCCTTGCATATTTTTCACCCTATAATCCGCATAATGGTCTGTATTTTCGGGACGGTGCCTCTTACGATAGAAGACTCGAATACTTAGGATACCCACACTGCGCTAGAAATCATCAAATAAATGGAGCTTTTGCTTCCTCCAAAGTCTGTTCGCACAAGCAAAAGTCCAGACTACGAGGTGAGCATCAATTACGATTGTTTCTCGCTTTCCTTCTGACCCACGCGTCAAAGCAGTCGTGCTAGTGCAAGAACTCTGGCGTCGATTTCTCTTGCTTCCATCGTACCCTCGGGATACCTGGCCTGGACCTCTCAACTCAGCGCGATGCGTAGGACCTCAGCTCCCAGCCCTTCCCTCCCATAACGCCTCCCAAATGGCCCTCTCGCTCCACACAAGCACCCCAAACGCCTTTCTATACACCACCCACCTCAAAACCAGATACGTGCACACGTTCAGCCCCAGACTCGTACACACCAGCACCGGGTACAGCACCCCGTCGTTCCACGCAAAGGCCGCGCTATTGTCCAACGGCACTCGTCGCCCCCCACGCCCGTAGTAGTTGCTCCACAGCCGGCAGCTGCTCAGCCAGCCGCACGTCGTCGCGGAGAAGAGCACCGGGATGGCGAGCGCGAGGAGCATGTCCTTGGCCGCGACGAGGCGGCCAAGGCGCACGAAGCTTTTGGTGGTGGTGAGTGAGTGAGAGCGTGTCAGGAACGTGGTCGTCCATGCGCTGAGGATCCATCCGCCGAGGATGCCGAACATGAGGAGGTGCCGGGCGTTGAGGTAGCTTGGGGGGGCTGCGAGCGCCCCTGCGGCGGCGGCGAACGAGGCCAGGGTATCAGCCAGCAGTAACACCACCGCTGCGGTGTGCGTCCAGGTGCGCGCGCCCTCCCGCTCGGTTGGTGAGGTCCGGCGTGGCTGATACCACGACGTCCCCGCCATGAACGCGAGCGTCTCCATCTCGTCCTCCGAGCCCGCGCGCACCAGTGCCGTCCGCAAGGCTTTGACTTTCGCGCCTCCACCATCCGCAGAATAACACGCGTTCACGAAATCCGTGAGCACCGCCCAGGTACGGTAGTGCGACCCCGCCTCCCCGACGGCGTGTCCGAGCAGCACGTCGCGGGCGAGCGGGGACAACAGCAGGGCCGCGGCCACCATTGCGCCGGATGGGCTGGACCCGCCGAGGGCCGGGACAGTGGCAAGGACGAGGCTGGCAATGCATGACGCGGAGGTGAACCATGCCTGGCCGACACCACGCGCACGATCCTCGGCGAGGCGGCCTGCGGTGTGATGGATCTGGGACACGAGGGTCGGGGCGGGGAGTGTGGAGGAGGAGATGAAGCCGAAGACGGTCCCTTTGGAACTGAGGTGGGGCACCATGGTGGGGAACGTGTAGAGGATGAGGGCGATGCTGGTTTGCAGTCGCGGCATATCGACGGAGATGTCCTTGATCTCTATGAGAGGTTGCGGGGTTTTTTCAGTGTCCGGGATCCGTTTCCGCTCTTCTCTCCTCCGCAATTCTTCCACCAGCATCCCAGCATCGCGATAGCACCTCTCACACAGGCTGAGCCGGTGACTCACCGACAAGATAGCATCGAATGGATCCGCAAGGGGACGTAAACTCGTCCAGACCTGATAGGTCCATCCCACAGGAGGCGCCGCGATGCTCACGACGAGGAACAGCGCCGGAAGGAGCCATTGGATAAGGCGGTTGCCACAGTCGGGATTCATGCGCGGCTCGCCCGGCGCGCAATACATCTCGCACCCGGTGAGGGTGAGGCTGCCACTCTGGGCGCTTGCGGGCGTGTCAACGAAGACGGTGGTGTTGTAAGCAAGGGTGGGGTCTTGGATAAGCGCGGCGGCGATGGTGTTCTGGCAGGTGGCGATGTTAATGATGGCGCGGGATGCTGTTGGGAGGGAGAGGAGCGTGGTCATTGGCACCCAGACAGAGACGCGCATATCGGAGTGGAGCGAGGGATACGGCGGAGAGTATCAAGTGAGAAGACGCGAGAATGACATGTTTTTCTTGTACATCGCATAAATTCCCCTCGAGAGCCAGGCAATCTGGATGTAGAAGCAGCAATCAGACTATTAGTATACGACATGACTAGGGTCCTTTCAAAGTTGAAGCCTCATTCAGGTACAGTACAGCCTTGTACATGACAGCTCTGAGACATCTTGCTGTGGCGCGCACGTTCCTCATAGGACCCGAGAGCTCGAGAGTCGAAGTTGAGAGATATTGTTTTATTTGCACATTTTTGTGGATCTGCAAGCAAAATAAGTTAAACCCCTATCCGCATCACGAATCGTGATCGGTGATCGACGATCGTTTCAAGTTCCGCTTTCTCTTTAACCACCACCATCTCATTTGCTTCTGGTCCATGACCTCCAGCGTCGGCTTTATTTGGGGTCTCTTGTGATACGCTCGCGATCGCTATCACTGCCCACGGCCTTTCCGAGTCCAATCCGAGTCTGTTGGCTACTCTCACCCAAAACTACGGAAATCTCAAGTCCCTGCTTGTTCCAACGTCTGACCCTCCTCCAATCGCTCCTATCCAATGCCCTTTCTGCCCGCAATTCACAAGTCCCTTCCCCCTTTCGCTTTGTGTATTTTCTGCTTCCTCGATCGTCTTGGATCCAAACCACCAAGTCCCTTCCCCTTTCGACTTCCCATTTCCTGCTCTGGGTCTTTCTTCCTCGCGACGTTGCAACGCATCAGTGGTGTAGCGGTAACATTGGGTCTTCCCACCTCAGATGGCCGCGTTGATTTGTCGTAATGAGTTTGGCCTAGCTCCGGGTTCGACTCCCGGCTGATGCATGGTCGCGATCGATAAGATCTTTTGTTGCGCATTTCAACGGTTTAGAGGTTTTATTTGGTTCCCCGTGAAACCTCTCTCTGCTCCGACTCCCAAGTTCAAGTTGCATATTGTGTTTGCAGGGTTTTAGAAGTGCTTTGGTGCCAGCTCACACGACAAGGTTCCAGTTCTGTAGGTGGGTATTCCCTGACAAGTGTCGAACAGAAAGGTCATGCAATATCTGAAGTTGGTGTCGGTCCGCAACCGGAAGTACTTTGCTGGGTAGGGTAAAAACAGGTTCAACTTCAGACACAGATTCAGCACGGTTGAAATTTGACTGCTCGAAGGAAGTATGAAAACCAGATGTATACACGGCTCGGACCGACACGAACGGCTCCCACTCGAATACATGGAATGCCACTCAGGTTCGTGAATAACTCTGTCCTATGTACGAGCTAGATTCGGGTATAGCGTCTGTCTTGGAGAGACCATGTCCGCAGCTGACCGGCGATGGAACTTCTGTATTTCGTGCTCTGAATTATTATTGACGTGGTCTTGAAGGATTTTCAAGTGTCCTCTCTCCACGGACGTCGTACAAAAGTTGATAATGGTATCCTGAGACGTCGACCCGGATCTTATGCTTGTTTCGGCATCTTCTCATTTGACAAAATTGACAGCACGCCACCCACTTGCTGCGGCCCAGTAACCGCAGTCCTTTTAAATAACTGCTGCGCCGTGGACTACAGCTTCCTCTTATGCATTCCTTGCTATACGCTCTCGCTCTGGGCAGTGTCTGTACAGCCGCATCGAATCTCGTCCAGCTTCAGCAGCCATTGGTGCCCGACGGCCCTCGTGGGACGATATTGAATCCGAGGCTCGATGCGGTAATCAACTCAATTTTGAAAGACTTCAACACCCCGGGAGGCGTTGGGATTGCTGTCGTGCAGAAAAGCCAAGATTCATGGAGGGTTGAAACGAAAGGCTATGGCATCGCGAAAGTGGACGGCACCAAAGTGACACCAGAGACCCTGTTTGGTATTGGGTCCAACTCGAAAGCAAGTATTATTGCTTGCCGTTTCGTGTATTTTGTTAAACATCCCGAAGTTGTTCGATATATTGGCAACCGGACTCCTGATCTCCAACGAGAGTATGTCACCTCGCATTTCATGGGACACTAAAATCGCCTCGTTTGTACCGGAATGGGAACTCATGGACCCCGTGGCGTCATCCGAAAGCTCTATAGTGGATGTGATGAGCCATCGTACAGGTTAGTCTCTTGTAAACCGACGCTACAATAATTCTTCCCTCATGTCTTGTACGTACAGGTATGCCTCGCCATGACTTCATTTCCACACCGGACACTGTGTCAGACAATGCAAGCCTCACCAGTTTTGTGTTTCAATTTTCTTCTTAATTAACCGTAGATTCGCCGTCTGCGCTATCTCAAACCTTCCACTGGGTTTCGCGAACTGTGGCAGTACAATAACCACATGTACACAGTTCTCTCTTATTTCCCCCAGTTGCTCGTCGGGATCCCATTCGAGACATATGTGAACGACTTCATTCTCCAACCACTGGGCATGAGTTCCACGACTTACTGCTCCAAAACTGCCGCTGAGAGCGGTCACCTTGCGGATGGGCTGGGAAGAGATGGTGTCAACCAGACTGAAGATATCTTCGGGCGGGGCGGAGTTCGGGTATATCCCTTCTGGTCTCCAAACGAAGGGGTCCCTGGAAACGGTAGTGGTCACAGTCTTCGTTCGACTCACGTTGGTTGACCTCACATATCAAGTGATTTCCGGCGCTGGCGGTGTGATATCCAACGCCAAAGATATGGTTCGTTGAATCTTTCGCATGCTCGCCGTCTACTGAATTATAGCAGGCGATTTGGCTTCAAACACTTTTGAGCGAAGGTCGACACCCCGTCAGCGGTGAGACCGTGATCCCGCAAGAGGTGATTCGTCGAATTGCCGCTGGAATAACAGTTGCTCGCCCTGCCGCGTAAGATTCCCCGTCACCTATGTTCTGATACTTATCACCGGCTGTGTTAGACAATTCCCTGAACTTTCTCCCATAGTTTATGGCGGAGGACAGTCGCGTGGTACCTACCGAGGTTTCGGTTCGTACAACAGCCAGTGATCGGCTCAAATTAACTTCTTTTTAGAATTCATCGAGGCGAGTTCAACTTGGCTAACACTGAATCGATCTCTCGGAACTGGCGAAAACCGGATAGCATGGGGGATCCGTCCTAGGTGAGGTTTCCATTCCGTTGAACTGTGACGGGATGGACTGACTGCTTCTCGCTGACCAGGGTTCAAATCCCAAATTACCCGCATTCCGAACCAGAATTTCGGGGTTGCGGTTCTCTCAAATGACGAGCCTTTCGGAACAGAAATAATTGAGGCGATCAAATTCCGTATTATAGACGAGATCTTGAATCTCGAAGCGATTGACTGGAGTGCTAGGTATGACATTCAACATTGAAATCATCATTCGAACTTTCGATATACAAATTCGCAGGTTCAAATCTCTCCTCACTGCAGGATTCAAAGGCCGTCCTATACCCACACCTCGCTCAAAAAACCCAAGCTTGCCTTCCCTCCCATTCAGCGCTCTAACTGGAACCTACAGCGACGCGGGGTATGGAGCGCTTGAGTTGTGTCTCGTTTTTCCGGACAGAGAGAGTGTATCGGTCTCAGAATCGTGTCGCCAGCTAATTGATGAGATCCCCACAAGACTTCCATCCACCCTCGATTATAAAATACCCACATTCCTGGCCAGGTGGACAGGATTCGGCGTGACACACGTATCTTTCACCCATTTTGAATACAATGTGTTCAATGTTTCCGGGCTTTTCAGTATCGTACGTTTTAATTATTTCGCCCCCATCTTTTTATTATTCAACGGCATCTCTAGCCTACTGGAAACTCCTCAGACGTACCATACTGGGTACAATCCCTAACGGAACCTGGTTTCTTAGCCGAGTTTTCGGTCGAAGGGAAGCTTGGGGTTGGTATCCGCGGATTTTGGGGTCCAGGTGATGGTGTTAAGAGTCCCCAGGGTGATTCGGCGAAGGCTCGAGCCGAGGTTTGGTTCGAGAAGATCGAAATTCCGAATAGGTCGATAATTGCCCCCCTCCCTTGATGTCCCCAACGGGCTGCAAATGTATCCATGAAATCATGTTTCCTGCTGCTCTTCGATTCTTTACTTTTTCTTGCTGGTAGCGGCTATTTGTCCTCGACATTGAAAGTAGGCGCTCCCCATCAAACGCGACGTGACCATCGCACGTGAAGGTGACATTTCCTGTTATGGATTTGATTCCGCCACCTCACGGCGAAATCCTTGCCGATCGATACTCGCGAAGGCACGCGGAGAAGATCCAAATATACGGTACAGACACCTTATCGTGGCTTCTCAACAACGCAGCATGCGGTCCAACGCCAATAAAATACTGAAGATTGAGTGGATGGCGTATTGGTATCCCCACCATGATTGTCTCGGTTCTCCTCGCCCTTGGGGCCGCTCTACTGAGCCAAGCCATTCCTCTAGTTGTCAAGCACAAATTCACGTCCCAGATACAAGAAGATGTAACGTTGCGCTTCGTGAACAATTCTGGGATTTGTGAAACAACGCCTGGCGTGCACCAGATGTCAGGATACGTCGATATCGGCACGAATATGTCAATAGTGCGTGGTTGGCACAGTTCCCATACTGTTTCTCATTGCGAGATGCAGTGGTTTTGGTTTTTTGCGTCGCGGACGACACCAGAAACTGCGCCGTTTACTCTTTGGTGCGTCGAACTCTTTCTCTACTTCCTCGATGATTGACGCTAAATCACAGGATCAACGGTGGCCCTGGATGTGCCTCAGAAATTGTATGTTTACTTCGGCTTGACTAGTTTTGAGATAGCTCATTTTGATCTAGGGCTTGTTCCAAGGTGGGAGATTATTCTACACCAAAATATCACCCTGATTTTCCCAACAAAAGAAAACGGACCTTGCACGGTGAATGCCGACGGAAAATCGACGACATTGAATCCATTCAGGTCATTTGCACGATCTGCTTCTGTCGGACATCTCTAATATCGGTTCGGATTTCAGCTGGAACAGTATCAGCAATAGTGCGTACGCATTTTATTCGCTTGATTTGGAAGTTAATCCCGTCGCATAGTGATTTATATCGACCAGCCAATCGGCACGGGCTTTTCGTTTGGAACAGACACAGTGAACAGTACTCAGGTCAGCCTTTGCACTCGAAATTTGTAAACAAGCCGCGAGGATTGACGAGAAAATCATTCAAGAGTGCCGCCGTCCAATTTTGGCAAGCATTTCAGATACTTTTTGAGAGCGGCGAATTTTCGCAGTACCAGAGTCGAGAGTGAAGAATTGAATTTGCTTATTTGTTTGAACCATCTAACTCCTTCCAAGATTCATCTTTGCGACAGGTACGTACGCGTGTAAAGAGCCCCAGCCTCGTTAACGCTTCGATAGAGTCGTATGGCGGTCATTACGGCCCTGCCTTCGTTACCTACTTTGATCAGCAAAACGCTGCAATCGCGCAGGGCACGGTCACTGGTGTTCCCATCGTTGTTAGCGCTCTCATGGTCAATAAGTAAATATCTTCCCGTCCAATCATATCCTGCTGACGTATCTTTGCACAGCGGGTGGTACGACCCTCTGATCCAAAATCTAGCCTATCTCACCTTTGCAACGAATGCACCTGGCTACGGCCAACTCCAAAGTGACGCAGTGCTCCAGAAGATGAATACGTCGTTTTTCGAAGCGAATGGCTGTCAGGAGATGGAACAAGCGTGCTACGATGCAGGAAACTCCTCCGCATCTAACGCGATCTGTGTCAGCGCAGATAATTTCTGTGTACGACTCTACCTCTCATCGGCTTGGTTTTAGCTCACCTTCATATAGGTCGACAATCTTTTCATCCCCGCGGTAGGAAATCGGGATTCGGACGATCTGCGGCAAAATTCGTCTGCGTTGTTCCCGCCCGAGTTCTACCTTAACTATCT